TCTGTCTATAGTCTTGACTATAGATCAGTCTATGGTATTGACTATAGATCAGTCTATAGTATTGACTACAAATCAGTCTTTAGTCTTGACTATAGATCAGTCTATAGTCTTGACTATAGATCAGTCTATATTCTTGACTATAGATCAGTCTATAGTTTTGACTATAGATCAGTCTATAGTCTTTATTATAGTCTACCGTTTTGATCGGTCTATAAACTTGATAATAGATCAGTGTTAAAGATCAGTTTATAATCTTGACTATTGATAAGTCTTTACTCTTGAATTAAGAACAATGTTGTATCATTACATATTCTTGATATCAGATCAATATATAATCCGAATCCTGATTTATAGTATTTATTACAGATCACTCTATAGTCACTAAAGATCAGTCTAAATTCTTGTCTATTTGTCTTAACTCTAGATCATTCTATAGTCTTGAGAAATTTTACATTGTATTTACAAAAAAATATATTTAAACAAATTAAACAAAATTAAAATGGAAAGTTTAACAATTAAACAAATAACTTTAATAAGAAAGTTGACATTAAGTTAAACTTTTTTTTTTTCAAAAAATGCTTTATTGCAAGAAAAAAAAATCTACAAAATGCTAAACAAATTACCGGCTAATTGAAATAAATGTCTAACTAAAAAGCAAAAAAATACAGAAAAAAAAAACAAATCTGTTAAAGATATTTTTCTAAAAGATAAAAAAACTACTTTAATTACTTTCGCTTTAAAATAAATAAAAAAACAACAAGAAGACAAAAATGCTAAGCAATTAAACAACAACAACAACAAAAATATTCACACTTCTTTACTTAAATAACTGCTTTAACAAACTAAACAACTACAACTTTAATTTCAAAACTAAATAGTTATTGTTGTTATTTTTATAGGATTTGAAATTCTTGTAAAAAGCCAGTAACAACCATATAAACATAAAACCAGAATGTGTGACATATTTTAACCCAAATACATTCATTAACAGGTTTGAATTTCATTTCAATTTAAATTTCTTCGGTTTAAGCCATAAAACATGTTCGTTCCTTTAGTTAAAACCCCCTCCAAAAAGTCTTTGCTGTTTTAGTATTAAGTGTGTTAAACCAAAACAAATCAAAGATTTTATTTTATATTCTTAACACACTTCTTCATATGAGTATCGGTTAGTGTTTTTTTTTTCTACTTGTCAGTCGGTTAAATAAATAGTTATTTATGTATGTCGTTTGGTATGTTAAGTACTGCCAAAGTTGTATTAGAATATTTAGTGTTTTTGTTATTGTTTTTTTATTCCTAAAATGTATATTACAAAAGTGTTAAACAAAATTTCATTAAAATTCTATTCTGTTCTCTCTTGCAACTTTCATTTTACCATTAAGAACATAAACATTTTGGTCTTATAAACTATTTTTATTATTGGTTATATTAAAAAGAAACTAATTTTGAATATGGTTAAGGGAAACAGAGACTTGAAAGAATGTATTCTAGGTAGAAAAGCAATAAATACCCATGAGCTCGAAATTACAAAAAAAAACTTGACTCGATTGGGCTACTTTTACACTAACAAAATTTTCATTTTAAAATGATTTGAAGTTTAGATTAATTCTTAGAATTTAGACAAGATCAGATATGATCATCAACTTTTATCATAAAGAAGCTGTCAAAAGTTTTGATTCTTCGATAAAAAATGTCAAAAAGTTAATTTCAAGCATTATTCTCTACTAAATTTAGAGTTGAGTTGAACTTGATCAGTTATGATCATCAGTTAATCACTAAAAAACTTCTTCTTAGTTGATTTTGATAAGAATTTTAGTTTGATAAGAACTAAAACTCTGGAATAGAATTAGTCCCCTTTTTAAACAAAATTAGGAACTTGACTCGATTGTTTTACTTTGCTTTTAGATTAATTCTTAGAAATTGATCAGATATGATCATCAACTTTTAACATAAAGAGTCTGTCAAGAGCTCTGATTCTTTTATGAGAAATGTCATGAGAAATAGTTAATTTGATTAGTAAACAATTTAAAGAATTAATCTCTACTAAGTTTAGAGTTTAACAATTTTATGACGATCAGTTGTGATCATCAGCTTTAAATCCCAGTGAACACAGAAGGAAAAATCTTAAAATATAATTATATTTATAGATGGTCAAAGGAATTTAAGGACATTAAAGAATAAGTCTAACTATGTTGAAAGCTTCCACACGATCAGTCGTGATCACTTTATTCATTAAGAAAGAATACTAGTTACCTTTTTATGAAACCCCAAAACTAAAGGATATAATTTTCTGTATGACAGCAATATGCCCCCAACATTCACTACTTATATTCTGATCTGGGTTTAAGACACGATCAGTAGCGATCATCTGCTTAATTGATAAAGAAAATTATAAAAATTTATATGGTTTTTAATGAAAACTCTGATGATAAATGCTCTTTGAACGAAAATTTTCGATTTGGACTTAACAACTTCTAAACGATCAGTTGTGATCAGTATATTATACAGTAAAAAAGATTATTAGTACTTTTTTAACAGAACTCTGATGGCTCTGTGTGAATGAAATTCCTTTATGGCACAATTTGATTTCTAATTTGAGTTTAACAACAGAGTAACGATCAGATGATCGAATCTGGTCTGTATAAAAGAAGACTCTAGGTATAAATTTACTTGAGTTTTTGTTGGTATAAAAGAGTTTATTTGCTTCCTATCTTCATTATGGAAACTTTCCATTGTTGCAGTTCTCATTTTAATTAATGAACTGACACACGATCAGTCATAATCATCGGCTTATTTAGTGAAGAAAAACTTCGAAGTTGTGATCTACAGCCTAACAAGTAAAAGCGAATCTTTATAAAAGAGAACTTAGATGAAACACAGTGTACGAAATGTAAAAAACTCTGTTTTCATTATCTGAGTTCTCATTCGATTTTAACAACAGAGTCACGATCAGACGATCGATTTTGATCTGTATAAAAAAAGATTCTAGGTATGAGTTTTGAATGGTGTAAAATATTTAATTTGCTTCCTATCTCCATTATGAAAACGTTCCACTATCACAGTCCTCATTTTAATATATGAACTGAGGGAATATCAGTCATGATCATCAGCAGCTCATTTAGTGAAGAAAAACTTCGAAATTGTGATCTACAGGTTAACTAGTAAAATGGAATCTTAGTTTTTTTTTATGACACTATCTGAGTAATCATTCGAGTTTAAAAACTGAGTCGCGATCATATGATCAATTCTGATCTGCATAAAAGAAGATTGTAGTTATAAATTTACTTGAGTTTTTGAAGGTGTAAAATAGTTAATTCTCTTCTTGTCTTTATTATAAAAAGGTGCCTTCTCATTTGAATTATTGAACTAAGACACGATCAGTCCTGATCATCAGTTTATTTAGTAAAGAAAAACCTTAAGATACATTTTGTTGAGAAATTTGTTCATGTTATCGAATAATTTGTCTCTTTTACACAAGTCTACGTTCATTTGAGTTTAACGAATGAGATTAGATCAGACTTGATCATCATATAGAAATAAACATATTAGTTGATTTAAAGAGAGATGGTGCTCCGTAGACGAAATTAAATGTTTACAACTGAGTCGCGATAAATGAAGAATTTTGTTCTGGATAAAAAATGATTCTAGATTGTTTTTTTAGAACTCCGATTGTGTTAAAGATTTGATTCGCTTTCAGCCTTTATTTTGAATACCTTCCACTATCGCAATTCTTATTTGAATTAATGAACTGAGACAAGATCAGCAATGATCGTCAGCTGATTTAATAAAGGCAAATTTTAAGAAATCACTTTTTGTAAACGAAGAATTTGACTCTTTTATAATTGGTTTACATTCATTTGAATTTAACGAATGAGACGAGATCAAATTTGATCATGATACAATTCAGTAAAGTATCTAGAAGCTTTGATGTATTTTGATGAGAATTTAACGAACTTAATAACAAGCCTTCATTATGAAAACTTAACATTAATAGCCGTGAATATAAAACCGCTAACTAATCGAAACTAAGGGATCTGTTCTCCGATAGATATGATCAGAGAGCAGAATATTAGCTTGTAAAGAACGTTGGCTTTAGACGTGATCGGTCATGATCACATGGAAAAAGAAGTGATCATGAGCTTTTTAAAGAAAGAATAATCTAGACGTGATCGGTGGTGATCATAGTGATGGAAAAAAACTTAGAAGCGATCATGAGATTATTTAAAAAAAATTGATAAAGAAAGAAGAATCTAGACATGATCAGTTATGATCATAGTGAAGATGGAAGGTTGTTTATAATCATAGATGATAGTTTAAAAACTTAGAAACGATCATTTGATGAGTACTTTGAGCTTAAGACCTAATTAGGCTTTGAAGATCGATTAGTATAGATAGAGATAAAATGGATGATAAAAAGCTTGATATAAAAACTATTGATTCTCGTTTGATGAAGAGTGTCCTGGTTCCTATATTTTTGGTTTGTTAAGTCCAGCTTGTTTCAAAATAAATTTAAGGCATAAATTGAAGATCGATTAGTATAAATAGAGATAGAGAATAAATGGAATATATAAACTTGATATTAAGAAGATTGATCCTCGCTTGATCTTATTGAAGAGTGTTCTGGTTCCGGTATAGTTAGTCTTGTTTCAAAAATTGACGAAATAATTCAACTTTTTAAGTGTAAACATTGAAACTAATCCATTTGAATTACACCGGAAATGTATATATATATAAAGTGAAATTAAAATTGAAATTAAATCACTTGGATTGAATGATTTATGCACCAAAAATGTACAACAAACACCACGCACAAACTGCAAAGTCCAATAAAATTTAAACAAATTTAACACTAAATAATGAAAAAACTAAACATGCGTTACATTTAAAAATCAAATGACGGAATTAAAAAAAAAAATAAGTGCTAATTAAATACAAAAAAAATTTAAATACTTTTACTCATTTAAATTTAAATAAATATTTTATTTGCACTCTTTTTTAAGGTAAAAAAACCCGAAATTTTATAAGATATGCCATCAAGGGAAAGTTTGTGAGAAAAAAAAAAAAACAAAAATAAACAAACCATAAAACCAACAACAGAACGTGGATCTGATAAAAAAAAAAAGTACAACAATAACTAAATTAGTTACGAGAAAACTAGATTAAAATGAATAAACATAAAATACCCAAATTAGTCTTAGGACTAACTATATTAAGTTTATTCACACCCCATATAGCACTGGCACAAGATGAATCTTTGGCGGGCAGTTTTTGTCCGGCCTTTTAGATACTATTACCAGTACTGCAGATTCCAAGGATTGTCCTGGTGTTTGTGTTCACACTTTAGCTACTTTGATATGTTATGAAGTTTTGGATGATATACCCTGTCCCTCGGCTAGTATGAAATGTTGTATAGAAAGTGCTCCTACGAAAAATGTCACAGCACATCATACTACTAGTAGTACAACAACGACGACGACTACCACAACTGCCACCTCGACTAGGAAGCCAACAACAACATCGGCTAAGCCTAAACCGAAAACTACCACAACTACCACTCCCAAGCCAAAGACAACGCAAAAGAAGCCTAGTACCACTACCAAGACTACGACTAAGAAACCGGTAACCACATCGACTACTGCAGCCTCCAAGAAGTCAGAGAAAGTAAAGGATGCTGATGATAAGATAAGTAAGTTGTTGGAGAAAATAAGAATCAATTCTTGTTTATGTCTTTAAGTCGTCTACTATCATTTCCCTTTTCTTTTCCAGACGAAAACTGTAAAGGTGTTTGTGTAGCCGATCGTATTGCCGAATACTGTGAAGCCTATTTGACCAGTGATGGTTTGTGTAAAGAGGGCACTAAATGCTGTGTCTCTTTAGATGACTATTCCAATACCAAATTGCCTAAGGATATCTATATACCAGCTAGTAAGTCCAAACCAATAAAATTAAAGAACACATTTCTATAAGACCTCTCCACTTACAGAACACATGGCCAATCTTAGTAGTCAGCAAAACAAAACGAAAACCGCCTCTTCTACAAAAACAGCTAGTGGCACAAAGACCTCCTCCAGCAGTACTAGCACAACAACAACAACAACTTCTACTACACCCGAACCAGCAAGAACTAAAATCATTAGCAGCAGTTCCAGTCAAAATAAACCGGTAAAACATAAAAAGACACCCACAGCTCACACAACCACGACCACAACACCCGAACCCATCGAGGAGGAAGAAGAAACCGAAGAGCAGCAGGATGAAGATGAAAACGATAAGAATGATAATGAAAAAACGGAAAATTCTAATGGACAAGTTTTAAAGGAATGTGAGGGAGAATGTATGAATGGCATTTTAGCCATATTCTGTGATGATATTGACTCGGAAGCTTTCTGTCCTAATGAAGGCAGTTGCTGTATAACCGGACAACAACAGCAGTCTGTTACCTCACCAGCCATTAAGAATAATCCAACTAAAGCTCCCACGAAAAATCATCCCAAGCCAACACATAAACCACAAAAAACCCAACCTCCTCCACCACCACCTTCCTCATCGTCCAGCCAAACGGGAGGCAATGATTTGTTCTCACAGATTCTTTCATTTGCTGAAAATACCCTTAGTGGTGGTAATGGTCCGGCTCAGCAGCCCGCTCCACAGGCTCCACCCAAAATACCCAGATGTCCTGGTTTTTGTTTGCTCAATATAATGGCTGCTTTCTGTGAAAGACCTTCGGTATTGATATCGGGACCCACGACTTGTGCTAAGGGTTCTGTCTGCTGTGATAACTCTCGGGCTGGTTCACCTAGACCACCACCACAAAATAGACAACCACCTTCATCGCCACCACCACCACCTACACAAGCACCCTATGTCATTGCCAACACACCATCGCCAGATCCTCGTGAGGAATGTCCTGGTTCCTGTATAGTTAGTTTGTTAAGTTTTACCTGTTTCAAAAATGCCGAAATGACTGATCTTTTCAAATGTAAACGTTCGGGTCAGACTTGTTGTGCTCCTAAGAGTAAGATTTTGGAAAAACAACAATTCCAAACACGCAATGATACTTCATATGCTCATTATCCACCACCGCCACCACAATTGGGTGTTCAACAATATCCACCACAATCGGCCTATCCACCACCTCCACCTCAGGCTTATATGCCTACACAGCCGCCTCAATTCAGTCATCATTATCCACCACCACCTCCACCTATGCAAGTGCCTCAACAGCAACAACCTAATTATGATTACTCCATCTATGGACCCAGCATAGGTAGGTTCTTTTTATAAAACAAACTTAAATTAAATATATAAAACTTTCCTACTTTACAGTGCCTCATCAACAAGGTTTACCGCCACCACCTCCACAACTGCAGCCACAACATTTGGCACCACCACCACCCACTACCACACCTCCCACAACTACTAGCACTACCACCACCACCGCCAGACCTCATGTCTATTCGAAATATGTTTGCGGTGTCAAGGGTACTTTACGTTCTGGTCGAGCTCTTTCCTCTACTCCCGCCCTTTCTCTCGTCTCCTATGTACGTGCCAAATATGGTGTGCATCGTCAATCTCGTCAACTTAGCGAGTCCTATGGCATTCCTGTGGGTGTACAAAAATCCTCAGAACGTCTGATACTCGGCTCTGATATAGTACCCATACAGATACACAACGATAAATTGGGTGATTTAATACAAAATGATGTTACAAACTTTAATCAAGTTAGATCTTATCAAGATGATGCTCCCTCGACGATAGTTATGGCTAAGTCATATTATGATACCTTTAATGTTACCAGCAGAAGACGTGCTCGTGTTGTGGGCGGTGAAGATGGTGATAATGGTGAATGGTGTTGGCAAGTGGCTTTGATTAATTCGATGAATCAGTATTTATGTGGTGCAGCTTTGATCGGTACTCAGTGGGTGTTGACAGCGGCTCATTGTGTGACAAAGTAAGTAATAATGAAGGGATTTTAAGTATTTGGGTCATGGTTGTAATGATTTAGATAGAAAATTATATAGTTTCAAGAATTTTTTTTGAAATTGATAGAAAACAAAAAAATACAAAATTTTTTAATTTTAGGAAGAGGTTATGGAACTTCGCTAGTATTTAGATTTAGAAACTTGTTATCTTAAACTAAATCAACTAATCACTAGCTCGAAGGTTGTTATACACCATTCCTTGTATAGATGTATCAAGCCGATATTTGCTAATATTTTACATGATTATGTACTAAATCGATTTGACTAAATCATGTAATGATCACAATTTAAAATTTTTTCAAGACTTCTTACAAGTTTTTGTAAAGTAGTTTTAAGTTGATCTGCATACGTTATAATGTTCTGATATGCTAAGAAACCATTTGCAACGACCATGCAGTAGAAATCAAAAGTTGCCTTTGTATGACTCTAGCTTATAATTTGGAGTTTTGTCAATACATATCAGAGTCTTCGGATAAGATCTTTTAAGATCATTATCATGTATTGAATGATTGAATTCTTTCCTTGTTTGACTTTCGAATAGATCTTGTCAAATAACACATTTGAATAGATTATATGAAGTTTGATGATCATTGATTTGAAATGCTTATAATTGATTTAAACTTCGAGATCTGCGAGGTTATTTTAGAGTGCTTTCAAATTGATATCCGTTTTTATCCCAAACACACATATAACGGGAATTGGCACTAACTAACATGATCGTAGATGATCAGTATTTTCAAGTTAGTTAGTTCGTTAGTTAGTTAGTCAGTTAGTTAGTTAGTTAGTTAGTTAGTTAGTTAGTTAGTTAGTTAGTTAGTTAGTTAGTTAGTTAGTAGTTAGTTAGTTAGTAGTTAGTTAGTTAGTTAGTTAGTTAGTTAGTTAGTTAGTTAGTTAGTTAGTTAGTTAGTTAGTTAGTTAGTTAGTTAGTTAGTTAGTTAGTAGTTAGTTAGTTAGTTAGTAGTTAGTTAGTTAGTTAGTTAGTTAGTTAGTTAGTTAGTTAGTTAGTAGTTAGTAGTAGTTAGTTAGTTAGTTAGTTAGTTAGTTAGTTAGTTAGTTAGTTAGTTAGTTAGTTAGTTAGTTAGTTAGTTAGTAGTTAGTTAGTTAGTTAGTTAGTTAGTAGTTAGTTAGTTAGTTAGTTAGTTAGTTAGTTAGTTAGTTAGTTAGTTAGTTAGTTAGTTAGTAGTTAGTTAGTTAGTTAGTAGTAGTTAGTTAGTTAGTAGTTAGTTAGTTAGTTAGTTAGTTAGTTAGTTAGTTAGTTAGTTAGTTAGTTAGTTAGTTAGTTAGTAGTTAGTTAGTTAGTTAGTTAGTTAGTTAGTTAGTTAGTTAGTTAGTTAGTTAGTTAGTTAGGTTAGTTAGTTAGTTAGTTAGTTAGTTAGTTAGTTAGTTAGTTAGTTAGTTAGTTAGTTAGTTAGTTAGTTAGTTAGTTAGTTAGTTAGTTAGTTAGTTAGTTAGTTAGTTAGTTAGTTAGTTAGTTAGTTAGTTAGTTAGTTAGTAGTAGTTAGTTAGTTAGTTAGTTAGTTAGTTAGTTAGTTAGTTAGTAGTAGTAGTTAGTTAGTTAGTTAGTTAGTTAGTTAGTAGTTAGTTAGTTAGTTAGTTAGTTAGTTAGTAGTTAGTTAGTTAGTTAGTTAGTTAGTTAGTTAGTAGTAGTTAGTTAGTTAGTTAGTTAGTTAGTTAGTTAGTTAGTTAGTTAGTTAGTTAGTTAGTAGTTAGTTAGTTAGTTAGTTAGTTAGTTAGTTAGTTAGTTAGTTAGTTAGTTAGTAGTTAGTTTAGTTAGTTAGTTAGTTAGTTAGTTAGTTAGTTAGTTAGTTAGTTAGTTAGTTAGTTAGTTAGTTAGTTAGTAGTTAGTTAGTTAGTTAGTTAGTTAGTTAGTTAGTTAGTTAGTTAGTTAGTTAGTTAGTTAGTTAGTTAGTTAGTTAGTTAGTTAGTTAGTTAGTTAGTTAGTTAGTTAGTTAGTTAGTAGTTAGTTAGTTAGTTAGTTAGTTAGTTAGTTAGTTAGTTAGTTAGTTAGTTAGTTAGTTAGTTAGTTAGTTAGTTAGTTAGTTAGTTAGTTAGTTAGTTAGTTAGTTAGTAGTTAGTTAGTTAGTTAGTTAGTTAGTTAGTTAGTTAGTTAGTTAGTTAGTTAGTTAGTTAGTTAGTTAGTTAGTTAGTTAGTTAGTTAGTTAGTTAGTTAGTTAGTTAGTTAGTTAGTTAGTTAGTTAGTTAGTTAGTTAGTTAGTTAGTTAGTTAGTTAGTTAGTTAGTTAGTTAGTTAGTTAGTTAGTTAGTTAGTTAGTTAGTTAGTTAGTTAGTTAGTTAGTTAGTTAGTTAGTTAGTTAGTTAGTTAGTTAGTTAGTTAGTTAGTTAGTTAGTTAGTTAGTTAGTTAGTTAGTTAGTAGTTAGTTAGTTAGTTAGTTAGTTAGTTAGTTAGTTAGTTAGTTAGTTAGTTAGTTAGTAGTTAGTTAGTTAGTTAGTTAGTTAGTTAGTTAGTTAGTTAGTTAGTTAGTTAGTTAGTTAGTAGTTAGTTAGTTAGTTAGTTAGTAGTTAGTTAGTTAGTTAGTTAGTTAGTTAGTAGTTAGTTAGTTAGTTAGTTAGTTAGTTAGTTAGTTAGTTAGTTAGTTAGTTAGTTAGTTAGTTAGTTAGTTAGTTAGTTAGTTAGTTAGTTAGTTAGTTAGTTAGTTAGTTAGTTAGTTAGTTAGTTAGTTAGTTAGTTAGTTAGTTAGTTAGTTAGTTAGTTAGTTAGTTAGTTAGTTAGTTAGTTAGTTAGTTAGTTAGTTAGTTAGTTAGTTAGTTAGTTAGTTAGTTAGTTAGTTAGTTAGTTAGTTAGTTAGTTAGTTAGTTAGTTAGTTAGTTAGTTAGTTAGTTAGTTAGTTAGTTAGTTAGTTAGTTAGTTAGTTAGTTAGTTAGTTAGTTAGTTAGTTAGTAGTTAGTTAGTTAGTTAGTTAGTTAGTTAGTTAGTTAGTTAGTTAGTTAGTAGTTAGTTAGTTAGTTAGTTAGTTAGTTAGTTAGTTAGTTAGTTAGTTAGTTAGTTAGTTAGTTAGTTAGTTAGTTAGTTAGTTAGTAGTTAGTTAGTTAGTTAGTAGTAGTTAGTTAGTTAGTAGTTAGTAGTTAGTTAGTTAGTTAGTTAGTTAGTTAGTTAGTAGTTGGTTGGTTGGTTGGTTGGTTGGTTTGTTCTAAAGAAATACACTTAGGCCAGCGTCTCCCATCTTATAATCCTTTAAAGAAGACACTGGTACGGATCGAACTGACATACTACAATACTAGCAACTAACCTAAGAACGTCACGCAATCCGATGCGATTTCGTTTTGGCTAGAAATGTTCCTATTTATTACTTCAAGGTTCGTGGCAATCATGCCTATTGCAGACTACAATCCTAGCCTATACAGGTTGGTCTTTCAGATATGATTTCATTATGATTACAAATGGTCCTATTTTACCTAGAATTCGGTTACCAACTCAGTTTCCAATTATCAAGTCTGTGGCCTCAGCATTTTTCCGCTTTAAAATTTTTCTGCTTTAAAATAGTACTTGGGAAAAAAGTTTTCACTCTTATTTCTGCCGTTGGCAATAATTGAAAATTGAACTTCTTTCCCCTTCCTTCCATTATGAAATTAAAAATAATCTGTTCCTTTTTACTTCCAGCATTGTTCGTTCTGGTGATGCCATCTATGTGCGTGTTGGTGATTATGATTTGACCCGCAAATACGGCAGTCCAGGAGCTCAAACTTTAAGAGTGGCTACCACTTACATACATCACAATCACAACAGTCAAACTTTGGACAATGACATTGCTCTACTTAAATTACATGGTCAAGCTGAATTAAGGGATGGTGTCTGTTTGGTAAGTATAATTATTACGCAAATGACCTTTGAAACAATTATAAAAATATAACCCCTTTCTTTTTAATAAACATAGGTCTGTTTGCCTGCCCGAGGTGTTAATCATGCAGCTGGTAAACGTTGTACAGTAACAGGCTATGGTTATATGGGTGAAGGTAAGCAAGAAGGGAATTTGTTTTATAATTATTTAACTTAATTAACATAATTTTAATGCTTTAGCTGGTCCCATACCTTTACGTGTCCGTGAGGCTGAAATACCTATAGTCAGTGACACAGAGTGCATACGTAAAGTTAATGCAGTGACAGAGAAAATCTTTATATTGCCCGCTTCTAGTTTCTGTGCTGGCGGTGAGGAGGGTAATGATGCCTGTCAGGGTGATGGTGGCGGTCCTTTGGTCTGTCAAGATGATGGTTTCTATGAATTGGCCGGTTTAGTTTCATGGGGCTTTGGCTGTGGCCGTGTTGATGTACCCGGTGTTTATGTTAAAGTTTCCTCGTTTATCGGTTGGATTAATCAAATCATAAGTGTCAATAATTTATAGTTGTCTTTATCGGCATAAATTTAATCACTTTTAAATAATTAAGTTTTATGGAATAAGTTGATGAAATTAAAAATTCGTTTGATGACAAATTGCGAGTTGTTAGTAAAATAAGTTATTAATGCAAAAAAGCAACAAAATACCAATTAGAAATGAAATTAATAAGGTTTCTTCCTTTTATTTATTATGTATTTAATTTGAAGGCAAAATTCCAAAGGAGTTTTTTTTATATTATTCTAAATGATTATTATTAAACATTATAATGTTAAAATAGTTTTTTATTAATACATATATTTTTTCATTTATTATATAAATTTTTATATAAACAAAGAGTTTAAAAAAATTCTTAAACTCTGAAATATTTATATGATTTATATAATTTTTCTTTAATTTAATATAATATTATATGACTGTTATTTTTATATTTTAGTATTTTTAATATTATTTCTATTAAGACATTTAATTATTACTAAATTTTATTTAAAAAAAACATATATATTTAATTTTAAGTTAAACTTTTTTTCCAAACGAAAGAAAAATTAGTTTTTGCTTTTTTGAAATTAGAAGTGAAAAAATAAATTTAGAAATTTTTCAAAGATATTGTATGCATATCGTAAAATATTTAATTATATATATTTTGTATATATTTTTAAGTCATTTATTTTAAATAAAAATATATTTGAAACGAAAAATTTGGTGATTAATTAAATATTTAAATAAAATTAAACGTAAGTTTCAGAATGTTTGAGTTCATATTACAAACAATTGATCTTGTTAAATAACTCATAATGCTAAGTAGATCGATAATACATGACCACTATGTTTTCAAAATCAATTTATGACGTTCTTGAAAAGTCATTTCAAATTGATCTTCATTCGTCATAAAATCTCAATGTATTAAAAAAACATTAGACTTGATCGTTTAGTGTAGATCATAAACTATTTACTCTCACGATCAGACAATAATATAATTCCAAATTTAGGACTGATAAAAATCCACATCTAATGACACTAGAAATATTTAAATTTAAAAGTGAATATTGTAGTCTTCCGATTATCACGATGTATTTATACAAGACACCTGCACAATCTACTTTTTAAAAATTTGATATTGTCGAAAAACACATTCCCATCGATCATACAAAAATTAGGAAAACATTAAAACCCAGGTATACTTTATTAACGGAATATGCTGCGTTGAAACTGAGCTTGAGATCTCAGAATATGAATCTCAGCCTAGTCTATAGACTAGACTATACTCTAGACTATAGACTAGACTAGACTATAGACTAGAATATAGACTAGACTATAGACTAGACTATAGACTAGACCATAGACTAGACTATACACCAGACTATAGACTAGACTATAGACTAGACTATAGACTAGACTATAGACTAGACTATAGACTAGACTAGACTAGACTATAGACTAGACTAGACTATAGACTAGACTATAGACTAGACTATAGACTAGACTATAGACTAGACCATAGACTAGACTTATAGACTAGAACTATAGACTAGACTATAGACTAGACTATAGACTAGACTAGACTATAGACCTAGACTATAGACTAGACTATAGACTAGACTATAGACTAGACTATAGACTAGCACTATAGACTAGACTATAGACTAGACTATAGACTAGACTATAGACTAGACTAGACTAGACTAGATATGACTAGACTATAGACTAGACCTATAGACTAGACTATAGACTAGACTATAGACTAGACTATAGACTAGACTATAGACTAGACTATAGACTAGATAGCTAGATATAGACTAGACTATAGACTAGACTATAGACTAGACTATAGACTAGAACTATAGACTAGACTATAGACTAGACTATAGACTAGACTATAGACTAGACTATAGACTAGACTATAGACTAGACTATAGACTAGACTATAGACTAGACTATAGACTAGACTATAGACTAGACTATAGACTAGACTATAGACTTATAGACTAGACTATAGACTAGACTATAGACTAGACTATAGACTAGACTATAGACTAGACTATAGACTAGACTATAGACTAGACTATAGACTAGACTATAGACTAGACTATAGACTAGACTATAGACTAGACTATAGACTAGACTATAGACTAGACTATAGACTAGACTATAGACTAGACTATAGACTAGACTATAGACTAGACTATAGACTAGACTATAGACTAGACTATAGACTAGACTATAGACTAGACTATAGACTAGACTATAGACTAGACTATAGACTAGACTATAGACTAGACTATAGACTAGACTATAGACTAGACTATAGACTAGACTATAGACTAGACTATTGACTAGACTTTAGACTAGACTATTGACTAGACTATAGACTAGACTATATACTAGACTATAGAGTAGTCTATAGATTAGACTATAGACTAGACTATAGACTAGACTATAGACTGGACTATAGACTAGACTGTAGACTAGACTATAGACTAGACTATAGACTAGACTATAGACTAGACTATAGACTAGACTATAGACTAGACTATTGACTAGACTATAGACTAGACTATATACTAGACTATAGAGTAGTCTATAGATTAGACTATAGATTAGACTATATATTAGACTATAGACTAGACTAGGCTATAGACTATACTATAGATATATAGATATAGACTAGACCATAGAATATACAGTAGACTACACAACAGATTACACTATAGGCTACACTATAGACTACACTAAAGACTACACTATAGACTAGATTCAAGACTTAATAATAACTCAAAGTGATCAAATAAGAAAATATAAAAAAGTAACGTTTTACAAAAATCTGACAAATTTTTAAATTTATTCCTAAGCAATCGTTTTTCTGCTATTCAGTTCCTGCAAATTTGAAACCCTTTATGGAATGCTATAGTTGTCATCTAATAAATTTATAATGAATTTCTAAACACCATATAGATTTCAAAGGAATTTAGATTTGCATACAAATAAATTAACACTAGAGAAAAAAGAATAAAAAAATCGTTATCCTTCAAAAAACAAAGCACAATGTTCTTAAAATTGCATAAACAACAATACAACTAATAACAATTTTCCGTTAAAACTTGTAATAAAAAAAATTAGAGAAAAAAATAAATTGCCTTAAATAACAAAAAATACGTTATTTTTCTATGAATCCTTAAAAAATGCGCCAAAAACTAAAAATAGTTTCCTGAAACTTAAGATTTCTTTAGAAATAAAAAAAAACTTGCCTTAAAAGAACAATGAGGTTGCTGTTATAAAAAATGATTAAGAAGTTTTTATTTGATTTGATAGAGAAAAAAATAGTATAATAAATAGAAAACGTTATATAAAACAGTTATATAATAAAGCACCCAATAGAAGAAAAAAAATAACACTATTATTATGCAAATTAAAAAAACAAGAAATCCTGTTACACAACAAATAACAAGGATCAAATAAGGTGAAACATAAATGAACAGAAAACGAAGTTTAAGGCGGAGTTCGGGTTAAAAAAATTAGAGAATTTTTTAACGACTGTAAGAGAGAAAGATCTTTAATTAAAGAGAGAGAGAGAGAGTGAGAGTTTTGTTAAAAAATATTCCAATTGGAAAGTGATAACGTCTTCTTTACAAAGAAATCACCCTTTTTTGAAACTCCTGTTGCTTAAGATTTAAGGTGAGTTGATTTACATTTTTTAACCCTTTCACCTTTAAGTTTTTTCTGTTTAAGCAGCAGCCTTGTGATCTTGTTGAAGAGAGCGTAATGCATGTGTATGAGTGTTTGCCTTAAGTTTGTATTATTTCTTCCCTTAATCGAAGGAAAAAAACAACAAGATCTACAAGATTGTTTTTGCTTCCTTCCTTTGATTTTTATGGTAGAACAATTTCTTGTGTCTGTCGATCTGTTTGTGTGTTTGTATGTGTGTAGTTGTTGTTGGTACCTTTTTTTCTTACACTTTTATTTTAAGCGTCGTGCAAGGGTTACGATAGTGTCCACCTAGACTACGACTCAACAGAACACTGTCTGGTCTCAGCAAGACAACATCGTTATAGAAATTTTTCAAAAAACGAATTTGCGCTAAACGTGGCACAATATTCGTCACGAAAATAAGAAATTGAAAAAAATACATTTTTAAAAAAAGCAAATTTTATATAAAAACAAAACATTTTTTTTAAACAAAAGTGAACTGTTAAAAAATATATTAAACGTGTTTGAAAAAATTACGCATATTTTGTTAACAAATAAAAAAAATTATAAATAAAATAGTTATTAAATTCTCTTTAGTGTTTTAGTAGTTTTAATAGTGTGTGCATGTTGTTTTTGTAAAATTATTTTTTTTTAAAAATAATTTTATTTTAGAGTTTTTTTTTGTTAGTTTGTTGTGTTTGTTTTTCTCTTGTTGTGTTTTATTAAATTTATAAGTTTAAAAACATGGAATCTGCCACCGGAAATTCACAAAATTTAACTACAGCCGCCGCCGCCACCACATCCGCCTCTAATGCAAATACTTCCACTTCATCTGCGTCCATTTCTACTACATCTTTAAGCTCTGCCTTATCCCTTACCACAACTGCCTCTCTGACACAAAGCTCAACGGCGGCTTGTTCTACTGTCAGTGCTTCGCCGGCTTCCATAAGTAGCACTAGCAATTTGACCGCTACAGGAAATTTACCTTCTGTCACATCTGCCGCCTTAGTTGCCGCTGCTGCTGTTGCTCATCATCATCATCAACAACAACAGCCACCACATCATACATCTTTATTGCAAATTTTACCCTTGGATACTGGCAACAAACATGATGACAGCAATAATCTGTCTTTAGCCAGTGGCTTATCTGAAGGTCAACGTTCTTTGTCAGCCGCACCGTCGGCTTCTTCAAGTCCCATTTTAAGTCCACCGGGTAAATTGTATGGACGGAATGCCAATGGTACAAGTAAGTACAAATTTTTATAATTTTAGATTAGTATAAAGGATATTTTTGTTAAAACGACCGGCAACAAGTTTAAAAATTGGGGTTTTGTTATAGATTTTACAAAAAACTGTTTCATAAAACCCATTTTAGGGTTAAAGTTTAGAATGTTTATTTTACCAGCTAATAAAAGGGTTAAAGTTCAAGTATATTCTTTTAATAGATAACTAAAAGGTTAACGTTCGAATTTTCAATAAATTTCTAAAGGTTAAAGGTCAAAAGTTATGAACATGTTAAAATTTCTCAAGGTTAAAGGTCGAAGGTTATGAAAATGTTTAAAATTTGATTCCAATAACATTTTTGAGGATTTTTGTGGACTTAAAAGTCACAAAATGTTTAATTTTTTATAACCTTTCAAAGAAATCATATTTTTAAAAGAAAACAACTATTAATTGCATAAAGGTCAAAGGTCAGGCAATTACCTGTGTTATCCGTAACACCAATTTGAGGATATCTTCAGCTTAGGTTCGATATTCTTTACTTAAACAAAACATTTTCCTTAATTTTAAAATATTTGAGGTTTAAATTGTATGTAATATAAATTTACTGCTCTAGAGGTCAAAGGTTAGATAATTTTCCATAAATTTCTTTCAAATACTTTCCCTTATAATCCTAAATACTTTAAACATATTAATTTAGAATACAAATTATAAATGTAAAATTCCATTTTATAAGTAACACTCGCAGTTAGAAAACACGATATTTAAAAGGTCAAAGTTCAAGTAAATTTTTGTTTCATGCTTTAAAAAATATGATTCTTTCTTTATAAAACATAACAGATCTCCTTTATATAGACTTTTTACAGGCTACAATTGACATCAATAGTTTTTAATAAAAATCCTTTTGAAATTTAGAAAAATATAGCTTTTTTATGCTAAAGGTCAAAGGTTAATTATATAAAAATAATTTGTGTTTGTTATAGATTTTAGTTTTCAGTATTGATAGAAAGCTAAGTTAGATTAAAAATAAAATTTTTTAAACAATTTTGTATGAAAATACTCAAATTAAAATGTTAGAGGTCAAAGGTCAAACCAAGATTTTCTTTAACAAAACTAAAAGCATTTTTGTTTAAAAGCAATGCACTTAATTTAGCAAAATTTTTATAAAAAAAACATAATTTAAAAAAGAAATTTACAATATTTTAATAAATTTTTAAAGGTCAAAGGTCAAACCTATATTTTTGTCTACTTTTTAAATAAATTTTTGAAAAAAAGTTTAAATTTTTCTCTCATTATTACAAAGATTTAATTAATTTTCATTAATTTTTGTTTAAAAGTTAAAATCTAACTTTTTAACATTATAAAGGTCAAAGGTTAAAGTTTGAACTGATCATAAATTGTTATTTTTAATAACTTTTTCTTTGCATAAGCCTTCAAATTTCATTAAAACTTGTTATAGAAAAGTTAATAGAAAGTAAATAACACATTTTGTGATTAAAGGTCAAAGGTCAAATTAATAATTAATGACTTTTTAACCTTTAAATAAGAAAATTTGGTTAATTTTCTTTAAAATAATAATTATATTTATGATATTGCAATTTTCTGTCTACAATTTCCACAAATTTACCGTCGGCTTTTGAAGAAAAATTCAAAATTGTTTTAAACATTATTCATAACCCGTTTTTTTGAGCTGCTAAGTTTTCAAATTATTTGTTATTTGACTTAATATTTCAATTCAATTCGAAATTATTTCATTTTCTAAACTTTAAAGTTTCCTCTCCTTCTCTTTTTCTTTCTTTTCAATATTCTTTTGTAAGTGTAACAAAATTTCAGCAAATTTGGAATAAATTTTATTTGTTTGCTACCACCCATGGTTTAAGGGCCAAACAAACATGGCTGCCGGTTTTCAAAGTTCTTTTTTTTTCAAGGTCTTCTAACACCTTTTGTTTTTTATTTAAGAAGAACATATCCAAACCGTTATTATTATTCTTATTTAGAAAAAAAAGCTTTCTGTTAAAATAACAACAAAAATCTTTAGGGTACATAGATCCGGTTTTTAAAATTTCTTGTTTCCTTTTAAGGGTGTGTTGATCTTACATTCAATAACAAATTGTTAGATCAGTTAAAACTAACCAATCGGGGGCCTTAAAAAGAAAACAATAGAATCTAGTTTTGTGAAAAAACTAAACAAATTTGAAAATATCTAAAAAAATACTCAAAGATCATAGGCTGTGTTCAAACAAAAAATATAACTTACCCTCAATATTATGTTTTCGGAAAGAAAACTACCCTGCCTGAAAAGAAGAGAAAAAAAGTCAGAGATTTGTTATAAAACCTTTATTGAGGAAAGAATTTGTAAATGGAATTCCTATTAGATTTTTTTTCTATAGATGAAAACAGTCATATTTTGAATACCATCTGAGTGAGTTTCAGAAACCTTGATCAAATTTTGTGTAAAACCTTGTATTGCTTGTACTGGTTCGATTCCTGTTTTTATCTATAAGACCTTAAATTTTGTTCATATTAAAACATATTTTTTTATTAACTAGAACTAAAAACTTGGTAAATGTTATAGAAATTTGTTTTTGTCTTTAACCATTAAACAAAGATTTGTATCATTTAAGGTTTTTTTTTTATCGAGAGCAATGTTTGCCTTCAAAACTTTATACATTCCAAAGCATTTCTTGAAAAAACAAAAAACCAAAGCAACTTTTTTCGCAAAACTTTTATCAATACCACCCCAAACAGAAAAACACAGACACAAAAGCCAAAAAAAAAACTACAGGCCCCAGCCATTAGCACCAATCAACAAGCAGCTAAGAAAGGATACAAGCAGACTCAACTCTGCTTACAAATACACTCAACAGGATGGTTAGTTTTAGTTTGGCTTTAGAACACAGGTTGTGTAAGGAATTTTGATCGACAAGAATTTGGTCATTTAAGAAAAACATTTTCTTTTTTAATTTATCATTTGAGGTCTCATAAAAAAACAAACTATAAAAAACAACAACAACAACATTAGTGGTAACAATAACAACAAGCACTAACGTCAACAGCAATGAAAATTTACACAAACGACATAAACATGCGTATATGAGAAAATTGTTGTTGTTACTGTTTGGTCTAGAGGAACAGCAGCAGAAGAAAAAAAAAAGTAGCAGGATTTCTTTTTTTGTGGTGGAGGAATGATGGTTGGCAATAATCAATTGTTTTAAATGACCAATCGTTGTGGTAATTCTTTTCTTTTTTTTCTCTTTACTGCACTCGTTGTTGTTGCTGTTGTACTTGTTGCCACATTTAATATTACACATGCAGAGCAGAGGGACAGCCAGTCATCAGCACCATGGCCATAACAGGACAGACAGACGGAGATTTCTCATTGTATATAAAACATTGTTTTAAACATACTAAATGTTAAAGTTACGTATTTTTTTCTTTTGCGATCGCTTATTTTCTTACACAATTTGTTTTTTGTTCTAAATTGTTGTTGTTGTTGTTTTTTAGTGAGTTTGTTTTTATCATCATCATTTTGAAAATGTTGGCGGGTACTTAGGCATGTGGCGTCGTATGTCATTATAAATACTGATATTTGTTGTTGTTGTTGCTGCTGCTACTGTTATTGCTGTCAATGTTAGTTCAATATTTTAGCAGAGCAGTTAAGGTATGACATTTTTACTAGATAAGTTCAGTTCTAGTTCAGTTCTAGTTCAGTTCTAGTTCCAGTTTTAGTTCAGTTCTAGTCAGTTCTAGTCAGTTCTAGTTCAGTTCTAGTCAGTTTGCTAGTTCAGTTCTAGTTGCAAGTTCTTAGTTCAGTTCTAGTTCAGTTCTAGTCAGTTCTAGTTCAGTTCTAGTTCCAGTTCTAGTAAGTTCTATTCAGTTTAGTTCAGTTCTAGTTCAGTTTTATTCAGTTCTAGTCAGTTCTAGTAGTTCTATTCAGTTCTAGTTCATTTCTAGTTCAGGTCTAGTTCAGTTCTAGTTCAGTTCTAGTTCAGTTCTAGTTCAGTTCTAGTTCAGTCTAAGTTCATTTCTAGTTCTAGTTCAGTTCTAGTCAGTTCTAGTTCAGTTCTAGTCAGTTTAGTTCAGTTTATGTTCAGTTCTGTTCAGTTAGAGTTCAGTTTCTAGTTCAGTTCTAGTTCAGTTCTAGTTCAGTTCTAGTTCAGTTCTAGTTCAGTTCTAGTTCAGTTTAGTTCAGTTCTAGTTCAGTTCTAGTTCAGTTCTAGTTCAGTTCTAGTTCAGTTCTAGTTCAGTTCTAGTTCAGTTCTAGTTCAGTTCTAGTTCAGTTCTAGTTCAGTTCTAGTTCAGTTCTAGTTCAGTTCTAGTAGTTCAGTTCTAGTTCAGTTCTAGTCATCTAGTTCAGTTCTAGTTCTAGTTCAGTTCTAGTTCAGTTCTAGTTCAGTTCTAGTTCAGTTCTAGTTCAGTTCTAGTTCAGTTCTAGTTCAGTTCTAGTTCAGTTCTAGTTCAGTTCTAGTTCATTTCAAGTTCTAGTTCAGTTCTAGTTCAGTTCTAGTTCAGTTCTAGTTCAGTTCTAGTTCAGTTCTAGTTCAGTTCTAGTTCAGTTCTAGTTCAGTTCTAGTTCAGTTCTAGTTCAGTTCTAGTTCAGTGCTAGTTCAGTTCTAGTTCAGTTCTAGTTCAGTTCTAGTTCAGTTCTAGTTCAGTTCTAGTTCAGTTCTAGTTCAGTTCTAGTTCAGTTCTAGTTCAGTTCTAGTTCTGTTCTAGTTCAGTTCTAGTTCAGTTCTAGTTCAGTTCTAGTTCATTTCTAGTTCAGTTTCAGTTCATTGTCTAGTTCAGTTCAGTTCAGTTCTAGTTCAGTTCTAGTTCAGTTCTAGTTCAGTTCTAGTTCAGTTCTAGTTCATATCTAGTTCAGTTCTAGTTCAGTTTCTAGTTTTCTAGTTCAGTTCTAGTTCAGTTCTAGTTCAGTTCTAGTTCAGTTCTAGTTCAGTTCTAGTTCAGTTCTAGTTCAGTTCTAGTTCAGTTCTAGTTCAGTTCTAGTTCAGTTCTAGTTCAGTTAGTTCAGTTCTAGTTCAGTTCTAGTTCAGTTCTAGTTCAGTTTAGTTCAGTTCTAGTTTGTTCTAGTTCAGTTCTAGTTCAGTTCTAGTTCAGTTCTAGTTCAGTTCTAGTTCAGTTCTAGTTCAGTTCTAGTTCAGTTCTAGTTCAGTTCTAGTTCAGTTCTAGTTCAGTTCTAGTTCAGTTCTAGTTTAGTTCTAGTTCTAGTTCAGTTCTAGTTCAGTTCTAGTTCAGTTCTAGTTCAGTTCTAGTTCAGTTCTAGTTCAGTTCTAGTTCAGTTCTAGTTCAGTTCTAGTTCAGTTCTAGTTCAGTTTAGTTCAGTTCTAGTTCAGTTCTAGTTCAGTTCTAGTTCAGTTCTAGTTCAGTTCTAGTTCAGTTCTAGTTCAGTTCTAGTTCAGTTCTATCAGTTCAGTTCTAGTTCAGTTCTAGTTCAGTTCTAGTTCAGTTCTAGTTCAGTTCTAGTTAGTTCTAGTTCAGTTCTAGTTCAGTTCTAGTTCAGTTCTAGTTCAGTTCTAGTTCAGTTCTAGTTAGTTCTAGTTCAGTTCTAGTTCAGTCTAGTTCAGTTCTAGTTCAGTTCTAGTTCAGTTCTAGTTCAGTTCTAGTTCAGTTCTAGTTCAGTTCTAGTTCAGTTCTAGTTCAGTTCTAGTTCAGTTCTAGTTCAGTTCTAGTTCAGTTCTAGTTCAGTTCTAGTTCAGTTCTAGTTCAGTTCTAGTTCAGTTCTAGTTCAGTTCTAGTTCAGTTCTAGTTCAGTTCTAGTTCAGTTCTAGTTCAGTTCTAGTTCAGTTCTAGTTCAGTTCTAGTTCAGTTCTAGTTCAGTTCTAGTTCAGTTCTAGTTCAGTTCTAGTTCAGTTCTAGTTCAGTTCTAGTTTAGTTCTAGTTCAGTTCTAGTTCAGTTCTAGTTCAGTTCTAGTTCAGTTCTAGTTCAGTTCTAGTTCAGTTCTAGTTCAGTTCTAGTTCAGTTCTAGTTCAGTTCTAGTTCAGTTCTAGTTCAGTTCTAGTTCAGTTCAGTTCTAGTTCAGTTCTTGCAAATGTTTTCATTATTTTTTCAATAGAAATTTCTTTTAAACTTTTAATTCTTTTAAATAACTGTATTTTTGTATTAACTTTCAAGTGTTTAAAGAAGCTGATTCTATAGTGTTTAAAGTTTTTTTCTGTTATATTTTGTTTTTTTTTAATTTTTTTTCTCATTTTAAGTGTGTGTAGCTTTCTATATTGGGGCCTACCAAGTTTATTTACGCTCATTTTCACATTTTAGCTGCCGCAACACAGTAGAGATGTTGCCTACAACTTGCCACAAACAAACATTAAGAAAAACAAACAGCATATTTAGTAAATGACAATGTTTGCCACCACAACAACAACAAAAACAGCAAAACATTAAATAGCTGCTGCAAGTATTATAAAATAATGAAGGTTTTAAAAAAAACTCAAAAGAAAAAATCTTACTATATAGTAAATTTTAATGAAACCAATAATCATGATCATCATCTTGCTAAAAGAAAAAAATTCAAAGCAAAAGAACATGATAATGTTTTTTTTTAAGATTTTTGCTGCAGTGTTGTATTTTTTTCTGGTATTATGTTCGCATCTTTTTAAAAAACTATTTAAGTATTGAAATCACGTATCATTTATTTATTGCTGCTAAAATACATTTGGTTTTTTTTAGATTTTTTTTTTTTTCAAACATTGCATTTCATCACTCGGCCAGAGAAATGTTTTGTGTGTTGGGAGTAGTTTTAAGAAAAACATAAAAAGTTTAAGTTTAAAATATTTAAAGGGTTGTTAGTTTTTATGCTTGTTTTAAGGCAGCTAGGACAGTGTTGAATGGTCTTAAGGACTCTCCAGAAGTTTGATGAGTTTTAAAAATTGTTTCCACAAATGGCAAGTGTTTTCAGTTAATAATAAGGCATATTTTCATATTTAATACCTTTTACAAAATCTACTACATTTTTCCAAAATCTACTACTTTTTTTAAAATTTTATAAATTTTTCAAAAAAAAAAATCGTTTTTATCCAAAAATCCACTTGTAGTTCATGATTTTGATAAAAAAAGTAGTATCTTTTCAAGAAACTTCTATTTCAAAATCTACTACCTTTTTCAAAATCTATAAAATTTTTCAAAAATTTACTCAATTTTCTAAAATCTTTAATATTTTTCATTAGTTAACGATTTTAAAATCCATAGTTACAATTTTTTTTTTTCAAATTTACTACTTTTTTAAAATAAAACCTACTACTTTTTTAAATTGAATTACTTTTTCAAAATATTTACTTTCTATCATAAAAAACTTTATTTATCATCATTTTAAAATTAAAAGCAATAATTTTACAAAAAACTACTGTTTTTTTTTTAAAATCTACTACGTTTTTCAAAAACTGCTACATTTTTCAAAGTATTTCAACCTTAGTTTTTTCCATAGTTTACGATATTAAAAACAAAAATAAGAATTGTTTTTAAATTTGATACTTTTTTTTGAAATCTACTATTTTTTTTAAAATTTAGTACACTTTTTCTAGAATTAGGTTTTATTTTATTCAAATTTTAAAACCAACCAAAGTATTACTCCTAAAAAACTAATTTTTAAAAATCTGCTACCTTTTTCAATAAAACAGTTTTTTAATAAATAACTTTCTTATTTGATTTACTACTTTTTCTACAGTTACTACTATTTTCAAAATTTACTACGTTTTTTAACAAAAAAAAAATATGTATTTATATGTTTGTTAATTAAATAAAGTTTTTTTAAAAAATAATTTTTTGGTAATTTTTTACTTTTTTTTAAATCTACTACTGTTTTGAAATTCACTACTTTTTTTTAGAATATCTTAAAGTATTTTTTAATTTTTTTTTAACAAACTCTAAGACTCTCTGACTCAATAAATTAATAATATTTTTTTCGAATAATACTTTTTTCAAAATCTACTACTATTTGAAAAATTACTACTTTTTTTTAAACCATTCTGAAAAGTAATGTTGCAAAAGATTCTTAATTAAAACCATTTAAAATAAAAAAAATACTTTTTCAAACGTCTACTACTATTTTCAAATTTACTACTTTTTTTAAAAAGTTGTTCTAAACATTAATTTCTGCTTAATACTTAAATAAAAGCAAGTGTATTTAAAATAAAACTACCTTTTCAAAATCCACTACTATTTTTAAATTTACTACTCTTTTTAAAAAGTTCTGTTTTCATTTGAAAGTACTTTTTACAGTAAGATCAATTAGAAACAAACTTTAAGAACCGCTGCCCCCGCTCCATTCAACTAATAAATATGTTGTTCGCATGCGAAAGCTTACACAAGTTTTCCTGCAACACGATAGGACAGGCAACATTGTAGTTTAGCTTTTTGCTGCTTTTTGTTCCTCTGTAGCTTCTTAAAGGAAAAGACATACACACTTAACTAGAAATCTTCTCACATAATTACCACATAAACAGATAACAGAAAAAAAATAGACATTAAGAAAAAAGACCACCTAAGTTAGACAAAAAAAATTACAGAAAAAAATCTGAAAAAAAATCTTTAAAAATCCCAGAAAATGAAAACGTTCTCACGCTTAAAAAATTTGAATAAACAATTAAGTTTTTCTATAAAAAATCACCCAAAAAAACAGCAAAAAAAATTGAAAGTGATAAAAAACTCCGCTAAAAGATGAACCTTTTTTTTGAAAATTTTTTTTATAAAAAAACTGATCGTTAAAGAGAAATCACATCACAAAACTACCCTAAAGTAGGATCAACAAAAAAAATTATTCAAATTTGAAACGGACGTTGGTTGTGTGTAAAGGATCATGAATAAAATGTCCTTATGCAAATGAGTTTTTTATACTTAGCTTCCCCAATTGTTTTTGTGTTTAAGGGTAGTGAGACGGCCAGTTTTTTTCGTAATAAAAGAGGTTTTTGTTTTTTTGCTTAAATCTCAAACAAAAGGGTTATAGTTTAAGAAAAAAACGTGATTTTTTTAATAAAACTTGTTGGTTTTTTTATACCAACAAAATATCCTTTACCCATAAATTTTAATTTTTTTCAACAGAACTGGTTTTTTAATAAAAAATTAATTTAATTTTATTTCCTTTTCTTTTTTAGTGGTGGCTACTTCCCGTCCTGGCAATGAAGCTGAAATACAATTATATCGTGTTTTACAAAAAGCCAGTTTATTGGCTTATTATGATACTTTGTTGGAAATGGGTGGTGATGATGTACAGCAATTGTATGAAGCTGGCGAAGAAGAGTTTTTAGAAATCATGGCTTTGGTAGGCATGGCTTCGAAACCTTTACATGTCAGACGTTTACAGAAAGCTTTACATGAATGGGCCTTAAATCCCTCACAATTCCAACAGGGTCTGTCTAGTACTACTGGTAAGTATTTCATTAATTCTTCCCCCCTTCCCCCATAACAAAAAACTAATTTATTTTTTAATTTCTCTCTCTTTACAGCTCAATTTGACACACCCGCTAAACCGCCCACCATGTTTAATTTGGAAGCCCCTTTAACTGCCAGTGCAGTACGTGCCAAATTCCCTGCCTTTAATGCTGCCGCCCCTTTTAATCCCACTCCCTTAATTAACACTCATACCCCAGTCTCTTCGGCTCATTTGTTAACACAAATTTGCTCTCTGCCCTCTCTGCCTGCTCATAATCCCTCCGCACATATTTTACCCCCCACTACACATATACACAATCCCGAAAGACCTTTGGCCTTAGCTCCTAATCCCACCTTGCCTGTGGTCTCTAATACTGCTCATCAGGTAACCTCTAGCTCTCCGCAATTGACTCCCGTATTAAGTGAAATGCAAGTAGCTCGCATTACTCTAGGAGCTGAGAAAATAGCCGCTCAATTGCCCCGTCGTGAGCCAAGAGCTCATACCTCCAAGAAACGCACTAGCCGTGAGCTGGAACAAGTAATTGCCATGAGCGAAAATGATCCTCGTCGTATGGATGAAATTCGTAAGTATTCCGCCATTTATGGTCGTTTCGATTGCAAACGTCGCCCCGAAAAACCCTTGACTTTGCATGAGGTATGTGTCAATGAGGCTGCTGCTCAATTGTGCCGTTTGGTCCCCGCTCTCCTAACACGTCGTGATGAACTTTTCCCCTTGGCTAGACAAATCGTTAAAGATGCTGGTTTTGGCCACTCAGCCACTATAGCTCGTTATGGTAATTTACTTTCACAAATGTCTCAGGCTCAAACTTCTACTCCACAAACTCGCTCCGTAACCGCCATGCTGGATTGTGAGTCGAGTGATACAAATATGACACCCTCTAAGAGACAACGTTTGTCTTCCTCGGATGCTTCTTTGAATAATTCCGACAGTAATCGGGTAAGAACTACAAAGTCTGATCATTAAATTGTTGTGGAAAGCTTTTAAGCTTCGTATGCTTCGTATATTTTCTCTATAAATTTGGTAATGGCTTTTTTGGTGGAAAATTTTTCAAATATAACTTTTTGCTTTACAGCTTTTAACGGGGGATTTTCTTTTACAGCTGGGGTAATCGGTATTAATCGAGGAAAGCTTTGCGTTAAAGCTTTTTTTGAAAGTATTATTTGTTATGGCTTTAAAGCTTTTGTAGTTGAGTTGCTTTTAATAGGTATGGCGCTTTGTAAAAGTTATGTGGTTTTTTAGAAAGCTTTTTTTATACAGCTCAAGCTTTTATTTGTGTTAAATTATTTTAAAGAATTTATAGAAAATTCTTCTAATATTTCCTCTTTTGTAAATCTTTCAAAATCTAACTTTATAATTCATGAAGTTGTGAGTGTTGTTATTAAGCTAAAGCTTTTTTCTTAGCTTATTATTAAACTTAGTAAGCTATCTAAAAGCTTAATGCGGTTTAATTTTTTTGCTTAAACTTTTTAGAACTTGGGAAATATACTCCAAAGCTTCAATCTGTTCTGATTTTTTAATCGATTAGAGCTTTTAAAGCTTTGATATGGAACTTTCATAGCAAAGCTTCACTCAGCTTAAAATTGAACTTATTTATCAATCTGGAATCTTATTATGGTTGGGAGTTCTCTAAAGCTTTTCTCATAAACTTTTTGGTCTTTTTAATACACACTTAAAAGCTCTATTCTCTTGCAAACCTTTAAATGGACTGAGTTGTTTGAAACCGAGGTGAAATTAAGCTTATTGAGCACTCTAAAAGCTTAATGTGATTAAGAGCTCGTTAAGTGTTTACTTAAACGTTCTAAACTTTTGAAAACATACTCAAAAGCTTTAATCGCTTTTGATTTTTTAATAGATTAGAACTTTTAAAGCTATTGTATGGAACTTAATGTTAAAACTGTAAAGCTTTTCGCTTTAACTTTTTGGACTTTTGAGTATACACTATAAAGCTTTATTCTCCTCCAAACGTTTAAGGGAATAAAGTTCTTAAAGCTTTAATATGTGACTTCAAGAAGTTTTGAACAGTTTAAAGCTTTTATTTTTTCACGTTTTAAAAGGTAAAAGCTTTCGATCATTCACTACTGAATGATCCTTGGAATGCAAGTCTTAAAGCTTTAATGTGGAACTTTCAGAACTTTTCAACACTTTAAAAGTTTTACTATCTTAATGTTGAGTTTAAAATCATTCTTTGAAAAGCTTTATTTGAACTTCAAATTGAGTCTATTTAGTATTGTAAAAAGTTTTGTTTGAACATCAAATTAAGACTATATAATAATGTGAAAGCTTAATATGTTTCGTAGCTCTCAGAGCTTTTACATTTTAGTCAATTTGTTTCAAGTAAAATCATTGACTTTTGGTATTTAATTAAACCGGTTTGAATCCGATTTAAAAGGCGTTAAAGCTTTCGATCCTTTACAGCTGATTGAAAGTGTAGAGAAAAAGCTTTAATAAAGGAATGACTGGAAATTTGTTAAATTTTTAATAAAATTGTTGTAATTTTAAACTACTGCTTACTTTAAATCTATTTATTAAACTAGTTTTTAAAAAATATTAAAAATTAACTCTCTTTTTAAGTTTTAATACTAAAAGCTTGGTAAATACTAATATTATTATGTAGTTAATAGTTTCCTAATTAAGTTTGTTTTATTATTTTTCTTTTTTGTTGCTAATATTTATTTTGTTAAAACTATAAATTGATTAGTTTGTTAAAAACTCTTTTTCGTTAAACTGCACACATTTTAGAAACTATTAGTATCTAAATTTAAATTTGTTTTAAGATTTTCTGTATTTGGCTTTTTATCCTATTGACAGTCTAAATAAATATATAAAAAAAACTTTTGCTATAAAAACAAAAAAAACCAAAAATCGCTGCGTATTTATTTCAAAAACTTACATTTAAAAACAAAAATAAAATATTAAGAAACAAAATATAAATAAAACATCAATTTAAAGGATTCCTTGGAAGATCCACGTTATAATCTATTTGCCATGTATCAGAAATTTGCGGCAAAACCACCTTTTGATTTGGCGGATATAGCAAAATTTACGTAAGTTTTCCTTTAAAACATATATCCCAGTAAAAAGAATTTAAAACTTTCAAAATTCCCTAGACTAAACAAACCCTCGGAAATAGAGGAACAAGATCAGGAATCTAGATTTTCCTTTAGCAATTCCAGTTCTCCTTCAATACCAGTGAGTATGTGTTTAAATTTCTAACATTTCCTAATCCGGTAAAGAATATGGTAATAAATTCTACTATTTTCTCTTTCTTTTCTCTAGAACACTGGACCGGAAGAGGAGGTTCCTAATACTTCTACTCTGCTGGATAAATCGTTTGTAAAATCTGATAGCACTACTAATAACTCCTTGGATTTATCTTCCTCTTCTCAGAGTCCTTTAGTTACTGAATCTTGTACCCCACCCTCCAAGTCCTTACCTTTATCGGGTGATGTTCAAGTTATTTCAGCTTCGGGAAATCATATTATAGCTGTTGCCAATCCCGCCTTGATTATGAGTCCCACCCTTAATGAAGGTCTAACATTAAAGAGGGAGAATCATACACCCGAATTGTAGTATTTAAGTAGCTGGCGTTGTAGTTGTTTGTTTAGAAAACAAAAATTATTTATTTGATAAAAAGTGCAATACTTAAAAAATCACAAATTTGTTATAATTAAACTAATTAGAAAGAAAATATTAAATAAAAGTTAATTTATTAATTTTTAATAAGAAATTATATATTATCATTTATTTAAATCAGACGGTGATTCAAAGTTTGTAGCTGAATGTTGGACCATATGTCTTCTTTAAGATTACATAATTTTTTTATTACTTCTTTCATTTAAAATTAAACAAAAAGTTAGAATTGAAATGTTTCATTTTAATTTCGGAACAAAGCAATTGAAATAAAGTGTTCGAAAAAACGTAAAAAAATTAAATTCAGAACAAATGATATTGAGAATAATTACTTTACATCCATGATTTTAAATAAAAGGCAAGAAATAATAATGTAATAGTTTTTTAATGTGGGGAAAATTTCTTTCTGAATATTAGAACAGAACTAAAACAGATCTAGAACAGAACTAGAACAGAACTAGAGCAGAGCTAGAACAAAACTAGAACAGAACTAGAACATAACAAGAACAGATCTAGAACAGAACTAGAACAGAACTAGAACAAAACTAGAACAGAACTAGAACAGAACTAGAACAGAACTAGAACAGAACTAGAACAGAACTAGAACAGAACTAGAACAGAACTAGAACAGAACTAGAACAGAACTAGAACAGAACTAGAACTGAACTAGAACAGAACTAGAACAGAACTAGAACAGAACTAGAACAGAACTAGAACAGAACTAGAACAGAACTAGAACAGAACTAGAACTGAACTAGAACTGAACTAGAACAGAACTAGAACAGAACTAGAACAGAACTAGAACAGAACTAGAACAGAACTAGAACAGAACTAGAATAGAACTAGAATAGAACTAGAACAGAACTAGAACAGAACTAGAACAGAACTAGAACAGAACTAGAACAGAACTAGAACAGAACTAGAACAGAACTAGAACAGAACTAGAACAGAACTAGAACAGAACTAGAACAGAACTAGAATAGAACTAGAACAGAACTAGAACAGAACTAGAACAGAACTAGAACAGAACTAGAACAGAACTAGAACAGAACTAGAACAGAACTAGAACAGAACTAGAACAGAACTAGAACAGAACAAGAACAGAACTAGAACAGAACTAGAACAGAACTAGAACAGAACTAGAACAGAACTAGAACTGAACTAGAACTGAACTAGAACAGAACTAGAACAGAACTAGAACAGAACTAGAACAGAACTAGAACAGAACTAGAACAGAACTAGAACAGAACTAGAATAGAACTAGAACAGAACAAGAAATGAACTAGAACTGAAACTAGAACAGAACTAGAACAGAACTAGAACAGAACTAGAACAGAACTAGAACAGAACTAGAACAGAACTAGAACAGAACTAGAACAGAACTAGAATAGAACTAGAACAGAACTAGAACAGAACTAGAACTGAACTAGAACTGAACTAGAACAGAACTAGAACAGAAACTAGAACAGAACTAGAACAGAACTAGAACAGAACTAGAACAGAACTAGAACAGAACTAGAACAGAACTAGAACAGAACTAGAACAGAACTAGAACAGAACTAGAACAGAACTAGAACAGAACTAGAACAGAACTAGAACAGAACTAGAACAGAACTAGAACAGAACTAGACCTGAACTAGAACAGAACTTAGAACCGAACTAGCACTAGAACACTAGAACAGAACATTGAACAGAACTAGACAGAACTAGAACAGAACTAGAACAGAACTAGAACAGAACTAGAACAGGAACTAGAAGAGAACTAGAATAGAACTAGAAACAGAACTGGACAAGAACTATAAGTGTTATCCACATATTTTATTTCCGCCTACTCCCAAATTTAAGTTCAAAAAGGACTAAAATCCTTTTTTAGTAAATTTTTCAAGAAATAACAGAAATTACCTAAAATACCCACTGTTAACATTTTTGACCACTAAATATTCTTTTGGAACCGTCTAGAAGAGATATCTAATGTTTTTTTCCCGCCCACTCTCAATTTTAAGGTCAAAAAAAATTCTTTTTTTATTAAATTTTCTGAAATAACAATATTTACATAAAAGGCACACTGTTAACGCTTTTGATCATTAAGTTTTCCTTCAGTTCAGGCTATGAGTGTTATTCAATATATTTCTTCTCGCCCATTCCCAATTACAAATTGAAATAGTACTGGGAGAACTATTTCTCAGCTTGAATAAACGTTCTGTTATGTTTTAACATATCTCTGTTAAAATAACATATGTGAAAATAACTTTAAAATAATATTTTTTATTTTTAAAGTCAGTTCTGTAAACTTGCAGAACAGAGCTGTGTTAACTAACACGTTTGTGTCTGGGGTTCAAATTTATTGTCACGCCTATGAAATAAAAATTTTTAGGAGGGCCAAAGTTTTTGACAAATTTTCTTTAAAATTAAAAAATTTTAACTATTCTTTTTTTCTAAAATGATAAAATTGTAACAAATTTTCTATAAAATGAGAATGTTTAAAAAAAATGCTAAAAACAAGAAAATTTTTATAAAATTCAATTAATTTTTTAACTGAACTTTTTAAAAACTGAACTTTAAAAAAAGCAATATACCCTTTAAAATGCTTTACATAAGAATATGTATTATAATAAAATGATATAAGCACTCACCTTATTTAACACCTGTTTCCTTTTCGCAAACAACTTCCATTACTCTTTTTTTATTACAAATTTTCAATTTGCTTTTACATTTATTTTCACAACATTTATATTTTTACTTATTTACAGATTTTTCATTTGCTTTTTATATTTATTTTCTATTTTTTCTCAGCTTTTTAATACGCTCTTTAATTTATTTTAACAACTTTTTTGCTTTCTCTTTTATTTTACCTGTTTTCTTTAAAAGATCAACATTTTATTTCCTTCACTACATTTAAAAGCTTATTCCTTTCCTTTATTACACTTATAAAAGCTTTTTCCTCTTCTTTGCTTCACACAAACCTTTATTCACTTTCCCCTATACCAACTGTTGCACTTAACATGTGCACATTCCCCGCACAACCATACATACTTTTTTACATACATATTAACAACGAATGGCCAAACTAAAGCAACAAAACGGCCGGCACAACATTTTATCTATTTTCAAACAATTTTGCCACACTTTTTTTACTAATTTACACATTACTTTTTAACAATATTTTTACATACAACGATTAACAAACATTTAAATTTCATATTTATGCAAAAATATTAACAATTTATTAACTTTTAACCGCATTTATTTATTAATTAAACGACCACTAATCACCAAACAACCGAACACTTGCGAAATTTCTAGAAAACTAAAAGAGAAAAATGCAAGTAATGATTCGTTTGCTATTGTTGTTGTTGCTGCTGCTGTCATTATTTGATTTGTACTAAATTATATGCTAATACATAATGTGTTTGTTGTAATTTTATTGTGTGGTGGGGGAGAATTTTGTAGACTGCGTAAATAGATTAGAAGGACAATGTTAAGTAGGAGAGTTTTTAGTGATGGTTAAACTATGTATGGTTCTATAAATCGACTTTAAAATAATCGAACAAACGATTTTTTCTTTTTTGGAAAGAGTCGAAAAGTCGACTATCTTGTTAGAAAAGTCGAAGAATCGACTTTGAAATAAAAGTCGAAAAAACTCGAACATTTTAATTTTTTTCCAATAATACAACAAATTGATTGGTATAACGACATGAAACTGTTTGATATTTTAAATAAAATCGATCTTAAGATCTTGTTTATACCCTTTGCAATAATCGAATACTTTATATTTGCGTCTGACATTTTATGGAATTTATGGACGACTAGATCTTAAGTTATAATCTTTTAAAATATTGAAAATCAGCTCGGGCTATGTTTAATTAAACGAATTAAAATAGATTTCTTACCGGTTAACTATACGAAAACCGGTTTTTGAAAATTGTCAAATAATCGATTACCCTTGTATATACATATGTATATGTATCAATGAAAATATTTTGAAATCATACATACTGAAAAATTACTCAAACCTCAATATGGACCTTTATATGCGCAATTTCGTGTCAAGTAACCCAACTCAAAAAATCGATTTAGATGAAATTTGCATCAAGGTTAGTACTATTGGATAGTAGGCCAAACACAAATTTTCCATCTGTCATGAACTGTCGGACTTAGAGTGGGTCAAAATTGAACATTTGGTATCTATCTATCTATCTATCTATCTATCTATCTATCTATCTATCTATCTATCTATCTATCTATCTATCTATCTATCTATCTATCTATCTATCTATCTATCTATCTATCTATCTATCTATCTATCTATCTATCTATCTATCTATCTATCTATCTATCTATCTATCTATCTATCTATCTATCTATCTATCTATCTATCTATCTATCTATCTATCTATCTATCTATCTATCTATCTATC